AAAAAATCTGAACAATGATAACTACAGCATAGCTTATATCCATCCAAAAAACTTACCAGCTATGACTGATTTCCAATTAAAAAATCTGAACAATGATAACTACAGCATAGCTTATATCCATCCAAAAAACTTACCAGCTATGACTGATTTCCAATTAAAAAATCTGAACAATGATAACTACAGCATAGCTTATATCCATCCAAAAAACTTACCAAAAAAGAAATTTTATATTTTGCTTATGAAAGCAATGTAATGTTTTCTGATAATCTGACAAATTTCATTAACATTTGCTTACTAATGTTTATGGTGTATTGATTTAGGAGGAGAGGTTTTAATCTTTATTTTCCTCATGGTTTATGATGTAATTATTAAACTTTTTTTTTTCTGATCTAGTTTAATCATTGTTCTTCATTGTCAAATGTGTCACATCTTGGAATGTTGGATGACACTAGTTCTTCATCGTCAAATGTGTCACATCTTGGAGTGTTGGATGACACTAGTTCTTCATCGTCAAATGTGTCACATCTTGGAGTGTTGGATGACACTAGTTCTTCATCGTCAAATGTGTCACATCTTGGAGTGTTGGATGACACTAGTTCTTCATCGTTAAATGTGTCACATCTTGGAATGCTGGATGACACTAGTTCTTCATTGTCAAATGTGTCACATCTTGGAATGTTTAAGGCATTTTTGTATGCCTAGATCTGATTTTTAATACATTATTTTAGGAAAAATATGTGTGAATACACACTACGTGTCCTTATCTAAAGCTCTTCAATTAGTAAACCTGTGCCTTGCCAGGACTAGGTACAACATAAATCTTAATGTGATCAATTTCAATAAATATCAAAGGCATTAATCAAATGAACCAGAAGAATAAAAACCTAATTAATTGTTTAAAAATTAAACAACTTCTCAGTATCAAGAACAGCATCGAGCAATAATTAGCAGTAATTTTTTCTAACTATATCGTGTGAACTAATTCATTTTCAAGATTAAGGAAGGCTTTTTATTTAGTGGCTAGACTATGGTTAGACAGAATCTTTCACAACATTAATTCCTGTACATCACTGCTCAGGGAAGCATGTGTCAGTTTAATAATATATACATACTCAAAGTAAATGTGTACTAAGAAGAAGGTGAGTTAGCACTTTAATATAACTAAAAATTCATAGTTAAACTAAATGATAGAAGAAATGATAAGGGAATAGTACACAAAACCGTAACAAAATAAAAGTAGAATTTGTCATCTCACGGTTGTATGGTGATCAGAATTTTAATTGGAAACCAGTCATAGCTAAAGTCTTAAGGTTTGTAAAGCAATGTTTTTCTAATGCCTTTTCTTTTCTTTTCAAATGCTGCCTATCCATTCTGCCTATCAGAAAATTTTCAAATTTCACATGCAAAATCTATATAATGTCCAGATAGTTATAAAACATTTCTTAATAACAATTTTTATATTTTATCTTTTTTTTTGACCAATCTCGTATCCACCATAGAAAAAAAAGGAAATAAATATAAATTATGCCTTTTTGATTCTAGAATTACTACAAATTATAACACAAAAACATAAATGTTTAGACTAAATAGCTTAAATCTCATAACATTGTACATTTATATATATTTATTATTCTTTTTATATTGACCTTTCAGTCATGCCTGGCTAACAATACAGAAGTTATATTGATGCGATGCACGTGCACTCATGTTACTGTATCAAATAATATAAAACTGACCTTTAGTCTTTAAAAAGTGACCTGTCTTGGCTGTGTTTTAGTACACTAGTATTTTGTAAAATAGTCACATTTCAATTATTAAATATGTATATAGATTATTGCTATTTAGAAACAGGTTCTTAAGCTTATTTTTCTTAAAACATAGAACAATAAATAAAGAAATAAAGCAAACAATTAT